GTCAAACCTTTAGTGAGTTGGGTGTGGGAGTAGGAAGGGTTTGCAGCCAGTAGAGTAAGTGAAATTCATGCACATACAACTCCATAATGCAGATGGGACTTAGAGGATTACCCACCTTCTTCCATCTCTAGGCTCTTACCCTAGGCTTCACTGCCTCTCTCCCACATTGCTGTACAGATTCTTACCAAAACATTCTTCCTCTTTTCTTCAATTCATTTTCTACACAGCAACAAAGCAGGTCTTCTTTTGAAACCCTTCAAAGCCTTGCCCATTGAATCCAGAATAAAACTCAACCTCATTATCATGGCTTGAAAAATACCAAATGATCTGGCTACTATCCATTCTTCCCTCTTGGCCAGCCAAACTCCCTTCCACATCAGGATCCCTAAACCTCTCCTTTCCTTTTRTCTTAGTCCATTTTCTGTTGCTATAGCAAAATACTGGACACAGGGTAATTTATAAAGGAAAGAAGTTTATTTGGCTTATGGTTTCAAAGGCTGGAAACTCCAAGTGCATGGTACTGGCATCTGATGAGGATATTCTTGCTGCACCATAACGTGATGGAGGGCATCACATGGCAAGCATGCTATCTTGGGGTTTTCTTCCTCCTCTTACAAAGCCATTAAAGCCATCATAGGGGCCCTATCCTTATGACCTTGTCTAATCCCAATTATCTCCAAAGGCTCCACCTCCAAATGCCATTAACATATTACTTTGAAGATTAAGTTTCCAATACAAGAACTTTAGAGAGACACACTCAAACCACAGAACCTTCCTTTAGGTGTTAGCTTAAATGCTACCTTAGGGAAGTGTTCTCTGACAACCACACCCAAAGTAGGGAAGTGARTTCCCTCTTGCTATTCTCTAGCTTAATGTCTTCTTGTTCAATTTCATTTCATAATTCACCTTCTATATTATTTTGTTTATTTGTGTGTTTATTTCTTTTGGTCTTCTGTACCCTGCACTAGAATATATGCACCATGCACACAGGGATTATGGCTGACTCGATAGTGACTATGTCCACATCTGGAACTGTGGCTGGCCACGGGAAATATTCATCAAATGAATGCAATGAAGTGGTTTGGTTGAGTAGCCCCCAAACACACTCAATCACAGAGAATAAATAAATCTGTTGTGTTTTTTTTCTTAGAGACTACTTTATGCCAACACACTCTGTCCTATTGAATCACTTAAAATAAAGGGGGAGCAGAACCTTTAGCAAACTATGATTACAATAGTATTCAAATATGACRTGCAATAATGATAGAAATAGAAATATGTATTCATAAAACCAGTCTAAAGGGTGAAGTCCCATGCTAATTATGATTCTACCTGAAATTTTATTCTCTACCARAAGAAGAGGGGGAAATATTCAGTCTCACTAATCATCAAATAAACACACATTAGGACAATAATGAAGATATCATCTTTTACCTTCCAAATTGGCAAAGATTTTGTTTTTAAGATAATATTAATTTGCTTAGCCTGAGGTGAAATGAACAAACTGTCACACACTTCTAGGAAAAAGGAAATTTTTGATTTTTTTTCAGAGTAATAATTTAACAATATGCACTAAATYATTACACATTGTATACCCAAAAGTCCTATTGATGAAGTAATATGAGTAAAGTAGCAATTTGGCTAATTGGATTTTTTATCATAAGAACCTTATATGAAAATACCTAATATGAAACTTTCATACTTTAATATGAAAATACCTAAAGAGCTGGGCACATTGGTACAAGCCTAATATCTCAGAGACTTGGGAGGTTAAGGAAGAGGATCACAAGTTCAAGGCCAGACTTGGCAACTTTTTGAGACCCCCTCCCAACAGCTTAGTGAGATCCCGTCTCAAAAATAAAAAAAAACTAGAGGCGGAAGACAGGCCTCTTTTTCGTGGCTCCTGGTGGTTGATCAGCTGCTCCAAGATGAAGCTGAACATCTCCTTCCCAGCTACTGGCTGMCAGAAACTCATTGAAGTGGACAATGAACACAAACTTTGTACTTTTTATGAGAAGCGTATGGCCACAGAAGTTTGCTGCTGATGCTCTGGGTGAAGAGTGGAAGGGTTATGTGCTCTGAATTAGTAGGGGAATGACAAAGAAGGTTTCCTCATGAAGCAGGGTGACTTGACCCATGGCCCTGTTTGCCTGCTACTGAGTAAGGGGCACTCCTGTCCTAGACCAAGGCGAACTGGAGAGAGAAAGCGCAGATCTACTTGAGGTTGCATTGTGGATGCCAGTCTGAGCGTTCTCAACTTGGTTATTGCAAAAAAAAAAAAAAAAAAGAGAGAGAGAGAAGGCTATTCCTGGTCACTACTGTACCTCGTAGACTGGGACCCAAAAGAGCTAGTAGAATCCACAAACTTTTCAATCTCTCCAAGGAAGATGATGTCAGAAACTTGTTGCTCTGAAGAAACCGCGTACTAAGAAGAATAAGGAAGAGGCTGCAGAATATGCCAAACTTTTGGCCAAAAGAATGAAAGAATCCAAAGGAAAATACAAAGCCAAGAGACACAGGCGGTCCTCTCTGAGAGCTTCTTCTTCTGAGTCCAGTCAAAAACAGATTTTTAAAAAGTAATAAATAAATAAAATCAGACCTTCAAAAAAAAATAAATCAAAAAATATTAGGGATGTAGCTCTGTGCTAAAGTGCCCCTGTTTTCAGCTCCCTACCAGAAAAAGAAAAGACCAAACATATACAAATACATAAGTATTAGCATAGTGGAATAGTGTATTTATTTAATTCTATGTTTAGAAAGATCATTATGTTTTCATGAAATATTTAAGGAAATATGTAAGGAAAAATTTTCATGCTATGATAATTATGTTAAAAAAGCAGGCAACCAAAAGTACATGTATTATTATACCCCAATTTTGTTAAATAATATACATATGAATGCATTACAAAAGCCCATAATATAATATATAAAATGCTAATAGCAATTATCTCTGCGAGGTAGGATTACTAACAATTTTTATTTGCATATTAAATATTACAGACAGTCTGTATTTTCCATATTTTCAACAATGAAAATAATTAATATAATTCAATTATTAAAAAGAAATGGAGGTGTGCTGGGGTTGTGGCTCAGTAGTAGAGCCCTCACCTCCCACGAATGAAGCACTGGGTTTGATCCTCAGCACCACATAAAGATAAATAAATAAAATGGAGGAATTGTGTGCATCTACAACTATAAAAAATATTTATGGGGCTGGGKATGTGGCTCAGGTGGTAGCGTGCTTGCCTGGCATGCGTGCGGCCGGGGTTCGATCCTCAGCACCACATACCAACAAAGATGTTGTGTCCGCCAATAACTAAAGGATAAATATTAAAATTCTCTCACTCTCTCTCTAAAAAAAAATTGAAAAAAAATATTTAAAAGAAAAGAAATAGGGGTAAATAACATAAATTACATGCCATGTCATTCATAAATCACTTAAAAACAAGAAAGGTTGCAGACCTTCTCAAAAGTTGACATCTTCCAAGGGGTTCTCAAGGTTTAAAGTCGACTCTGCAACCACATAGTAAAATGACATTCTTGGACTGTCACAGGTGGGCCAAGATAAGTCTGGATGGATGCTAATTATCCAGGAGGAATCTGGAGCCCTTTTTCTGGAAACATTTTGCTGAGAATGGAAAAATAACCGTTCTGAAACAGAAGGAGGAGCTGCCTGGATCAGTCTGATTCGCACTCCTCCAAACAGGGAGACTCACAGGGCATGAAATCCTCCAGCTCACCCGCTCCCGCCCCGAACTGCACCCAAAGGAAAACTGAAACCAAAGTTGAACTAATGAGTCATCTTCCTGCAGAGCTGTGCCTCTCCTCCTGCCTGAAGAGAGCTGTGGATCTGATCCTCTTCCACAGCCARCCTCTCCCACCATCTACCTCTCCTCCTTTATTTTCCTAACAGAAAAGGAAAATTTTAAGATGTTTAAAGTGTTTTAAGGAGAAGGGTGGATCCAGGCCAGAAGGAAAAATGTGCTCTTATCTTTCCCCTCCTGCTTGGCTGGCTGCTTCGACCATTATTACTCCAGCAGTTTTTACTGCTGTGTCCTTGCGGTCATTGCACAGCCCAGGGTCATGGAAACAGGGCAGTCACACCACCTGGCTCTGTCATCTGGGTGAGCCTGCCCTTGAGACAGAATTTGTTTTGTCAGCATTTGTACCAATCTTGACCCATTATGGTTTATTCTGATCCCATCTCCCTGTAAGCCTGAGAATAGCTTCATAATGTGCAGAAAACCTCAGGTAGTCAGAACAGGATCTGCAAGTAGAATTTTCTCTGTGCATCTGTGGCTTCTGCATCCATAGATTCAACCCATCATAGATTGACAATATTTGGGGGAAGTAATTCATCTGCACTGAACATGTACCCACTTTTTTCTTGTCATTATTCCATTAAAAAAAACCCAAACAGTATAATGGTTATTTAAAAAGCATTTGCATGGTATTAGGTATTTTAAGGAACCTATAGGTGATTTAAAGCAAATGGGAGAATGTGCTAGATTATATGCAAATACTACACTATTTTACAGAAGGGACTTCAGCATACTCAGATTTTGCTATCCTTGGGGGATCCTGGAGCCCTCATGGATTCCAAGGGACTGGGTTCAGAGCATAACTAAGTAGAAGCCCTACTAATGGCCTTTTTCTTTGCTGTTCTTTTAAAACAATATTTCCCTTTCTGGCGTTCTCTGCTGCTCTATCTAGTGGTCCACTTCTCACCACAACTAGACCCCAACTCCACCCTTGACTCCTCTTTCCACAAAATTGTTCATTTGGACTTGTTTAGTTTTTTTTTTTTTTAATTCATTTATGTACGAAGGAACTTCTAGTGTCAGCTCATTAAAGAAGAAATTATTCAAGATACTTGTTAACGATGGTGATTCAGATTTTATTTAAAGGGAGCCATGACAGTAGGTAATACAGTCCTGCRGTGGGAGAGGGAAACAGGGCTGAATTCCAACTTCAACAAGGACAAATGGGGACTTATAACCCACACTTTCGTGACCTTTACCTCCTAAAAGCCCACTCAGTTCTCAGCATGAATGGACAAGAAGGACCTCCTTATGACTCTGGCAGGGGAGGGAGTTATTTACCATTTTGAAATATACCCGGAATATTCTCCCAAGAAGGCCCTTCTCTCCAGGTAAGAGACTACACTGGGGCCTTATCCCACTGGGGAAGGACATTATCCCGATTCCTACCTGCTTCTAGCCTGCCTGTCTCACCTAAAAGAAAAAAAATAAAGCCAACAAAAACTCGTGAAAGTCACCGCCCAGGACCACAGATCCACTAAGTGATCATTA